AACCCTGCTCACCCCCCTCAGTACCCCCCACAAAACCCCAACTTCCCACAAAACCCAGCTCATCCTCCCCAGCACTACCCACAAAACCCTGCTTACCCACCACAAAACCCCAATTCCCCACAAAACCCAGGTTACCCGCAGAACCATCCACAAAACCCTGCATACCCCCCTCAAAACCCTGGCTACCCACAAAACCCTGCTCACCCCCCACAATTTCCCCCACAAAATCCCGCTTACCCCCCACAAAACCACAACTATCCACACAACCCTGCCCTGCTCCCCCCCCACCATATCCTGGTCACCCCCCACCATACCCTGGTCAACCCCCACCATACCCTGGTCAACCCCCACCATACCCTGGTCACCCCCCACCATACCCTGGTCACCGGCCACAATATCCTGGTCAGCCACCACAGCATCCTGGTTATCCCATAAATCCTGGCTTTCCCAGCCGTACAGGAGGAGACAGCTGGGGCCATCATGACACTAAGCCATGGAAACCCAAGAAGCCCAAGACGAAGCATCTGGTGGGAGCAGCTGTTGCAGGAGCTGCTGCAGGAGCTGTGGGCGGCTACCTCTTAGGCAATGCCATGTCTAACTTGCGTTTTCGTTTTCACAACCCTGCTGAGGAACGGTGGTGGTATGAAAACCGAAATCGTTATCCCGATCAAGTTTATTACCCACAGTACAATCAGCCGGTTGTGAGGGATGTGTTTGTGAGAGACTGCGTCAATATCACTGTGCGAGAGTATATCGAGCCCACTGGAAACCAAACAGGAGATGAGATCGAAACCACTGTAGTGACTCGAGTGGTACATGAGATGTGCACTGAGCAGTACCGCATGGTGTCGGGTGCTGCAGAGGGAGGTAGTTGGAGCCGTTATAATACTGAACCATGGAAACCTAAGACACCCAAGCTTGAGATGCCGCAAGTGGCAAAAGAAACGGTTACAGTTGCCCCAAGGGGAGCAATTGTTGGCCCCCTCTTAGGCAGTCCCATGTCAAATATGAGTTTCCAATTTAACAACACCGATGACGAACAGTGGTGGTATGAGAATCGCAATAATTATTCGGACCGAGTTTACTATCTGGAGTACAGCCAACCTGTTTTGCAGGATGTCTTTGTGGGAGACTGCATGAACATTACACTGGAGAAGTTTCTTGAGCCCACCGGGAATCAAACGGTCGATGAAATGGAGGAGAGGGTTGTGAAACAAGTGGTCCACAAGATGTGCACAGAGCAGTACTGGCTGGTGTTGGGCGTTGCTGGAGGAGGTTCCCGGAGCCATCATAATAGCGAACCATGGAAATCTAAGACAGCCGATCCCAAGATGGACAATGTGGAAGAGGAAGCTGCAGTTATCGCCAGTAGCCGCTTAGAAAATGCCGCATCTCAGTCCGACTTTAACAAGGATGACAAGGAAACATTCGGTTCAGGCATTACTATGCTTCTGGCCAACCCTTCCCTGCTTTGGATCAACACATTCGCCTTCTGTTTCCTGTCACACTAAGGTCACACAGATGAAGCCTCTCTGTTGTTGTCAATCTAGCTGATGTTCAGAAAGAGCGAGATCTATCTTATGCGATTACATAGCATTATATAACGGCTTGCCTTGTAGTTCCTGTAACGCTATGTAATGCAAACTTTTTTGTGTGTGGTGAACGTATTCTTGCTTATGCACCTTTTTGGTGGCATAGCTTTATGAGCAATTATATCTGTTGAATTATAGAGAACATACAAGCTGCCATGATTACTCCTTTTTTAGGGCTGTCTGATTCCGTATCTCACAACACAAAGAAGCTTGTTAGTAGGAGTGTGCACACACAAAAATTCAGGATTTTTGAATTTGGATATATTGCACCCCCCAAAATTCGAGATTCCTGAAAAAAACCCAAATTTCTATATTGGTATGGTATTTGGATTTGGGGTTTCCCTGGAAATCCCATTTTTTGTGGCTCCATTTTAGCTTATGGGACCATTATAGTCAATGAGGAATCTATCTGGGGATATTCAGGGGTCTTGTGGGTCTGTACTTTGAGGTAGGGGCACCAAAATTTCTTGTGCCTCTCCTCAATAATCCCCCCAAATTTCAAAAAGATTGGACTGGGGGTCCAATTCTATGGTCCCCCAGAGAAGGTGTCCCCATCCTCCATTGTTCCCAATGGTGGGGAAAAACCCAGCAAAAACAAAAAGCAAGAATTGATGTCAAACCAGAGAGTTTTTTCAGTAGAAACTGAAGGTTTGTGAGGTTTTTCCCCAAGCCCAGCAGAACCAGTGTGGGTCCAGAGTGGTGCATGTACTGGTTCTGCAAAAATGCCCCTCCCCCCTTCAGTTTTTACTGCAGAAACTCTCTGGTTTGACATCAGTCTCAGCTTTTTTGCTATTTTTTCCTCATTGAAAATAATGGAGGATGGGGGTATTGGGGGCCCATAGAATTGGATCCCCTGGTCCAATATTTTTGAAACTTGGGAGGCTTTTTGAATAGAAGCACCAGAAGCTATGCTGAAAATTTGGCACCTCTACTTCAAAAAACAACCCCCACATAACCATGGATAGATTCCCCATTATAGCCTATGGGGATGATTGACTATAATAGTCCCCAATTGGGGGGGGGGGGCTCCCTCTAAGCCGCGGAGTCTTGTGAGCAAAAATGCTACTTTGTGAGCTCCTGGCATTAAAGTTGTGAGCGAGTGATCTGGCTGCTGCATGAATTAGTTTGCTCTGGGGCCATCTTTCCTGAGCGGAGACAAAAAATGTGTGAGCCGGAAAAACTGTGAGCTAGCTCACACTGACTCAGTTTAGAGGGAACCCTGGTCCCCATAGGCCATAATGGAGCCGAAAGTATTTAAAGGTGTCACCTTTAAATTTGTTCATGAAGCTGCAGCTGCACCCAGAGTGGTGTCTAAAGGGACTGCATTCTCTTTAAACACCATTTAACTGTGGCTATCCTGTTTTCCTGGATAATGCTTTCTCACTCACTTACTTGGACCAGCCATTTTCCCTCAGCAGGATCTCCAAATCTAAAGTGGCTTTGCTGTCTTCCAACATGTAATATGTGTGGCAGGACAAGGAGTGAAAATGACCAGCGCTTTCATGCTCCTCACATGACAGACAGCTGCAGTGAGATGATGTATGAACTAGCCCCACACTGAAAACATACATATCCCCATAGTTCTCTTCCTGTTCTTTTCATTGATAGACAACTCAGTTAAATATCTTTGTGCATGGATCCTCAGGAATGAGATACAGCCACTTGATGTATTCATGACAAAGTGGAAAGGGACATTGCTAGGCCTTACTAAATGAACTGATCTAAAATTTATGGGTGGGGAGAAATTCAGTAATTAAAACGAATCTATGGGTCAGGGTGTTATTTTAGTAAAAAGCCAAAGTCATGTCTGTCTTCTCCCTTCCCCATTCACAGTCTTTGTATTGTGGCAAAATGAGATGATAGACACTGGGATACAAATGCACTAAACAAAGAAATAACTCCAGTGTTTTTTTCTGCTCAGTGATGAATCTTACACTGGATGAAGGAAGATGTTCTACAAGAGACCATATCCTTCCATCAAAGCATATGATGATGAAATTATGCCAGGCCACTAGAGGAGAGAGAGAGAGAAATATATATATATATAGTTGCTAGAACAGGGAGAAATATGAAATACACATTGTGGAATTGTAAAAATCCACAATGGATTTTTCTTTAATGAAGTTTACTTCCTATAATAAGGCAGGACCTTTTAAAGACACAACTGGTGGCTTAATGTTCAGCCTTCCTTTAACATGGGCAAAAAAAGTTACTGGATTCACAGGCAAAGTGCAGCACACCTTCAGCCCATGGCATCTTTGCATCTGGAGTGGGGTTTGGATCTCAGGTTAGCAGGATTCTGAACAAAGGAACTTGAACACAGCCAGTAAGTATTTATTAGTGCTATTGGCCGAAGGAATGTCTTCCCCATCCTGCCCTCCAATCAGTCTCCTGTGGGAGGAAGGGTGAGACAGAAGGAACCAAGCTACATGTTTGCTGGTCCAATTTGCAGGATGAACAGGAGAATAAATGCAGATCCCTCCACTGAAGTCTACGGCCCAGTAAATGGAGTGCAGGTGCTCCTGGGTGTACTCTTGGGAAGGTTCTTCAGGACATTGTTAGACCTTTCTAAATAGACTGATCTGAAATTCTCATGGGTGGAAAGAAGTTCAGTCTTTAAAATGAATATATTACCCAAGATGTTATATTATTGAAAAGCCAAATGCATTTCTCTTTCCCCACTTCCCCATTTGCAGTCTTTGCATTGTCACAAAATGAGGTTAATGGGACAATGGGATACACATGTATGAAATAAAAATAAATAAGTGATGACTTTTCATTGGAGTAAGGAAGATATTCTACAGTGGCTCCATATTCCATGTAAATAAAGAAAACATACTCTTAACATTAAATGATATGATGATGATGAAATAATGCCAGGCCATTAGAATTTATGATGTAACCAGCAAAGATAATTGTTGGTCTCATAAAAAAACAAAACACAAACATATTGATATCTATATAATTAAGTTTATTTCCTATAGTAAGACAGGCTAGGGTTGCCAGTCAAGAGCATCTCCCCCCTCCCCCGTCCTGGGAGCTTATGGGTGGGGCTGTACATTATGCCGTGTCACATGATGTGTGATACCACAACATCACTTCCGTTCATATACACAGAGGTGACATCACACTTCATTGGGGATGCTCTAGCAAGCCCACCAAACTCTATGGTTTTACCATAGAGGTTTATTTTTTGTGGGGGGGTTACTCAAGTGTCCTTGTGATGCATGATATTACTTCTGGTTATGTGACTGGTTTGGGCCCAATTTCTCCTGCTGCCACATGTCAGCAGCCAGGGACCAGGGACAGGAGATCTCCACACTGTAGGAAGAGACCTGGTCCTTTTAGGGCAGGCTCTTTTTAAGATAACAGCTGGAGGCTGAATGTTTAGCCTTCCTTCTTGTTGCACCCTGTTTCGATGGTCGAATCTGCATTTGTCTTTCCTACCGGTATCCGAGCCTTCTGACTTGGTCTTCAAAAAAGCTGTCTACATTTGCTTTCGGTTTTGCACCTCAACAATGCTAGCATACTTGTGCATGTCTGCATATATTTATTGCCCTCCCATGGCGGCTCCACTGTCATTGCGCCTCCGCACCGTTCTAAATGAATCTTCTCCAAACAACTTCCAAACAAGCATAGAGAAAGACGGCATCACAGCAGCACGAAACTGATTGATGTCAGTTTTCTTCCATAAGAACAAAGAAAAGAAATGTACACATTTGTGTAATCTTTAAAAAACACAAAACCTGATATTTGACATCAGCCTGTAATGCAGCGATCTTAAAAACAGAATGTGGAAAGAGGGGGCTTAAGATCCCGCTCCCTTTTCCTAGCCTCGGACAACCCTTGTACCCGCTGTATTTCCTGTTGGGGGCCGCACAAAAGTTGCCCTAATGGGACACAGAGCAAAATGCCTTACACCCCAGAATTTGCACACCTCAAATTGTGTATCAAAGTTTTTCGTAATGGGGTCTTTACACTGACTCAGAGGTAACAGAGTCTTTTGCTGGCTAGCAGGATGGTAAAAGAAGGACAGGTGTGTAAGACAGAAACTCTGTCACGGGTTGTGCTTCCCCAGCCCAATTTGAGAAAGCACTCGGCACAGTCCTGTAGAGTAGAATCCAGGCTCAAAACTTTATTAATAAAGGAGGGAAAATACAGGTACAACAAGGTTTTGAATCCTCAAATACCCACAGCCCTCCCTAAGGTTACAATAGGAGACATGGGGTTTTAAACCCACTATGACGCTTTGCAAATAAATCAGAACTACTGGTTCCATCACTTTGTCATATATCCGTCACACCATTCTGATTGGGCCTGAACCTGTGGGTTGGATTTTCACTGGCAAAAATGTACCTCCTACAGCTAAACAATAGGCCTTCTTCTCAGGCTGTGAAGTTCCAAAAAGTATCTAATGTAACAGATATGCAGAGGTCGATTCGGGGGGATCGCGGTTCCTCCGGGTGAGGTGCAGGGGGCGGGGCACACGACAAAGCCCCGCCCCCTGCTTCTGGCCGCCCCGCTTCCGGCCCTCATCCAGCCAGGAGGAGACAGGAGAAGAGGGAGGGTAAGTTGCTTCCTCCCCGCCTCTCCCCACCCCTGCCTGCCTGGGGCTAGGGAGGGCCTTGGCGGGGCTTCCTCACACTCCCGCTGGCCTTGCAGGTCCACTGCCGGGTCCCGGATGGATTTTGGAGGTGGAGCCTGAGTGGTGGGTTTAGATTCAGAGGAATTAGCTGTGTTAGTCTGTTGCTGAAAAATAGTCCAAGAGTTCAAATAGCACCTTTAAGACTAACAAATAGCACCTTTAAGACTAACCTTTAAGACTAAGACTAACTGAGTGGTGGGTGTGGCCTTATGACACACTTCCGGTGATGTCAGGGGGTGTGGCCTTATGACACACTTCCGGTGATGTCAGGGGGTGTGGCATATGCTAATGAGTTATGCTAATGAGTTCCCCTAGCTCTTTTTCTACGAAACGACCCCTGCAGATATGGGTACATCATGCAGTATGTTCTCCATCTAACGCAAGCGAGCTGACATCAGAAACATGCGCAGTCACAGCTAGCCATCACGAGCAAGGTCATAAGCAATCAGTTACTGCCTGTCAGCATTTAGTATTTTTCCCAGAATGCATTTAAGCATCGAACCAAAGTG